GAGTGTTATTGGCCAGTTACCTCTGACATGAACAGTCCAGCCCCTAATCGAAGCTCATGGGCATCCAGCAGTCGTGTGCATGCTGTGCGTAAAGTGCTGCCTGGAGCACGGTAGAATGGGAGGAATCATGCAACCGACAACTTGTATACACGACTGCATCCAGCAGGGAGGCGGAGAAAAGAGAGGGCGGTGCGGGACCTGCTGCTTTCACACTCAGCTTTACTTCCTCGAACAGCGCTGAACACCTCGTCTCACGAAGAAGCAAACGAACGGTGTCATCTTTCGAAAATCCTTTTCATATACCCTGTCGAGCATAGGTCTGTAGAACTATATTCTGCTCTCTGGCACAGCTGAGTGTGACCTGAATGTTTAGATCAAAGCTCATGGGCATCCATGTGCGCCCTGTGCGTAAAGTGCTGCTTGTCAGGAAGGCGTGCGTCCTCACTTTGGAGCATTTTGACGAGGAGAAGAAACCAGAGCAGATCAAGAGTACAAATATGACATTTATTGGTCACAAGCAAAGTATGTCAGCGCTGGGCTCTCACAGACAAAGCTCCCGGAGGATCTAAGTTGGCAAGAGCCTTGATTTCCGGGTGCAATGGAGTTTTGTCCTCTGGGCGGGGCCTTGAAAATGAGGACGGCGCGAGGTAATCGAGTGTTATTGGCCTGTTAGCTATGACAAGAACAGTCCAGCCCCTAATTCGTGCAGGTTTCGGTGGAACTGAGGGAACTGAGCCGTAAACTCTGCCATGTAAAATATCTCCTGTACCTTTCCTCTGCTCCATTCAGGTACATCAGCTCTGTTGGGCGCGGCGGCAAAGCTGTTTTGGTCACTTTACCAAGGCCTTGGAGCCGGAGACTACATAATTCCTAAAACATAGCTCATAGTACTTCCTCAAACAACACTGAACATGGAACATATGAATAAGGAAGTGAAAGGAGTCACGTTGCACACTCGAATACAACTGTTGTTGCAACAACAGTTATCTTGTAGCCCTTTTAGGATTCTCCTTTCCTTTCCATGTGATCCATGAATATACCGCCAAATTATATGTGATTTGGCGCTATATAAATAAAATTTAATTGAATTTAATTAAGTTAGTAGTACTAAAAAAAGTTAAACAATCAGCTGCCACAATTCTTTTGACTTCTGAAACTCAAATATTTGAGTCAAAGAGAGCTTATTTGGAGTTTATT